CAAAAATAGTTATTGAGCACTTACTATATGCCAAGTGTTCGAGATAACATCAAGAAACAAAAGAGACAAAAACTTCTGCCCTCATGAAGGGAGCCTATAACAAATGAAGAAGCAGCCTGCATCCAACACACCACCAGCCTCTCCCTCCAGATATTTGCCAGATTTTGAACCCATGTGGGATGTGAAGCCAAACAGATAAGTTCAAAACTTCCAAAGGGTAAAACTTTCTAGGGAATGGCTGTCAGTAAACCTAAACATAAGCAAATTGTGTAGTCAGTGCTGGTAAGTTCTATGAGGAAAAAATTAGAATAAGAGAGTGATAAGGATTTCAGAAATGGGGGTTACAGTTTTAAACAAGGTGGTCAGTGTTGGACTATAAAGATAACATTTGAGCAAAGACTTGGAAGAAGTAAAGAAGCAAGAAAGTTATGTAGGGGTGAAGAGCACTTCAGCAGAGGGAATAGCCCATGCAAAGTCCCTGAGGTAGAAGCATGCCTATATGTATGAGGAACAGGCAAGGAGACCTCAGTGTTAACAAGATGAGATGGGAGACTGGATACAGATACTATAGAGTTTTGTAGACTTTTGGAAGATCTTTGACTTTATTATTATTATTTTTCTTTTTTATTGATTTTTAGAAAGAGAGAGGAAGGGAGAGAGGGAGAGAGAAGCATCAATGTGAGAGCGAAACATCAATCAGCTGCCTCCCGCATGCCCTCTACCAAGATCGAGCCCACAACCCGGATATGTGCCCTGACTGGGAATCAACCAGCAATCTTTCTGTGCATGGGACAATGCTCAACCAACTGAGCCACACCAGCCAGAATAAGCCACTGCAGACTATTATTATTCTAAATCTACATCATGCAACACCTAGCTTTGGCCCTTTTTCGTTAACTATGCTGATAGTATAGGATAGGCCCGAGGATATGTAGTAGGTGGAGACTTTTTAATTACATGATGTAGATTTAGAATAATAATAGTCTGCAATGGCTTATTCTGAGTTAGAGAAATATTTTAAATAGTTAAAACAATGGTGTCATAATAAAAAGGACCTTTGTGAATGTTTGAGAACAGCGTAGCAGGGCTAGACTAGTGAGGATGCTCTTGGAAATAATCGAGGAGAGAAAAAAAGGTGGTTTAGATTAGGGTATAAGCAGTGGAAATGGTTAGAAACGATTGGATTCTGACATATTTTGAAGGAAGAGCCAATAAGATTTCTTTGCTAATCAGAGATACATAAAGAGCTCTTGCAAATCAAAACAGAGGACAGTTTTAAAAATAGGCAAGTGACTTGAATAGGAGTTTCACAATGAGGGTATCCACATGGCCAATAAGCATATGAAAAAGTTTTCAGTAGCCACAGTTATAAGGGAAATGTGAATTAAAGAGACAATATTACACATCCACTAGAATGACTAAAATTTTAAAGATTTTTAGTCTGCTGACAATATCAAGTCAGCTGAACCATCCATACCTTGCTTGTGGCTGTAAAAAATGTTGAGATCACTTTGGAAAAAATGTTGACTGTTAAAACCCAACATATAACCAAGCCATAGTTTAATAATTCCACTCCTATGTATGTATTCAAGATAAATGAGTGTACTTGTCCGGCGAAAGATATGCATGAACATTGGAAGCAACCCAAATATTCCTTCACAGTAAAATGGATAAATAAATGTTGGTGTATTTATACGATAAAATACTACATAATAATACAGAAGTATAAACCATGTGCTATAATTCAATTTATATAAAGTTTAATAAAAAACAAAACTAATTAGTAATGGTGGAAGTCTGAATAGTAGTTAGTTCCCATGAGGGCACAAGGGTTTTCCAGAATGTTGGAAATGTTATATAACTTGCTCTGGATGGTATTTACACAAGTGTGTATGTGTATATGTAAAAATCCATCACCTGAACACTTGAGGTCTCTGCATAGTGTATGTACGCTATACCCAGTAACTTTTAAAGCATTATGTTAGCACGTCTGGTCATTCTTGATGATGAAGACTATAGCTCATTTATTTCTGTAAGACCAGCGCATAAACTTAAGGCACTCAGTAAATAATATGGAAGGAAATTAGGAAGGAAGTAGGAAGTTAGGAAAGAAGTTGGTTCATTAATCTAGTTTCTCCTCTTAACCTAGCACCTGCCAGCTTGCCAAAAAACACTGTTTGTTGGCTGCAAGGACGGGTAGTGATCTTTGCAGCTCAAGAAAATACATCTAGCTCTGGCTGATGTGGCTCAGTTGGTTGGGCGACATCCTGTGCACTGAAAGGTTGTGGATTCAATTCAGTCAGGGCATATTTCTGGTTGCTGGCTCAGAAGGGTTTGTGTAGGAAGCAGCCAATTGATGTTTCACTCTCACATTGATTTTTATCTCTTTTTCTCTCTGAAAAATCAGTAACAAATGTTAAAAAAAAAAAAAAAAAAGTACACCTAGCTTTGGCCCTTTTCTGTTAGCCATGCTGATAGTATAGGATAGGTCTGAGGATATGGAGAAAGTGGGAACTTTTTAATTGCATGATGTAGATTTAGAATAACAGTCTGCAGTCTGAAGTCCTGGTGAGTTAATGCTTTTTCTCCTCATTTATTTCCTTTTAAAGCATTATGAGACAATACTACACATCCATTAGAATGGCTAAAATTTTAAAGACTAATACTATTAAGTCTCTTTCTCTCTTCCTCTTCAACAATTCAACGAATACTTGTTGGGACTCTCTTCCAGTTCAAGAAATATTTGTTGGTCAGCCACAGTTGCCTGGCATTTTTGAGGTATCGAGCGACATCACTGAATAAAATAAGGATCTCTGCCCTCAAAAGGTTCATATCGAATGGGAGAAGTAAGCAATAAACTGCCTCCTCCTTTCCTAACTTGTGCTTAGGAAGTAAACAGAACAAATACACAGAAAAACAAAAGCTTCTTCCTGTTGTATGGTAGGCACAGTTCACTTGCCTTCTTGTTGAGCTGTGGGAAAAGACATATCATTTTGGATTAACTTCCGCATGGAACCTAGCACAGTGCCATGTGTGGGAGGGGACGTAATAAATATTTGTAACCTTTGGGAGCATCTGTCCGCGCCTGCTGATTTCCACATTTTTTCCTACCATCTGCCCTCCTAATTTTTTGTAAACTATCACTTTTATGGGAAAAACTTGATTTGAAGATCTGAGAAAAATACAAGTTTTCCTTAGTGGTATGGCTTTGTGACAACCGAACTCTAGAATGGGTAGACAGTGATATGCAGAATATACCATCTTTTTGGTAAGTTCTGATCAGGCACCCAAATACTAGGTGTACTGGTTAATAATGGAGGATTTTGTAATCAAAGAAAACATGGTAATTTCAAGAGAAACATCAAAAGTGCTTTATTCAAAGTGATGTCCATCGCTAGCTACATTTCCCCATCTTTCAGGTAATTTGTGGATACCTTCCCAATAGAACTTTCCTTGTATTGAGGCAAACCATTCAGTTTGGGTCATTCAGAGACCCAATTTTCCACTTGTTTGTACATCTTGAAGTGCTGCTCAGAAAGTGTGTGCCATCGATCGGGAACAAGTGGTAATCTGAAGGAGCAAGATCTGGTGAATAAGGCGGGTGGGTTAATACTTCCCAGGCAAGATCTTTTAATGTGACTTTAACTGGTTTTGAAGTGTGTTATGGTACATTCTCATGAAGCAAAATTCCTTTGCCATGCTTCTGGCCCATTCTGGTCATTTCACGATCAAGGCTGTAGGAAAAGACTTATCATTTTGGATTAACTTATGCATGGAACCTAGCACAATGCAATATGTGTGGGGGGATGTAATATTAATTTTTATTAACTCCTTTATTAATAGACTAGAGGCCCGATGCACAAACTTCGTGCATGGGTAGGGTCCCTAGGCCTGGCCAGCAATCAGGGCTGATTGGAGCCTTCGAGTTGCTGGCCAGGGCCTCTCTTCCCCAGCTGCCAGTCGCTGGCCGGGGCTTTCCTTCATTCCACGCTACCCCTGGTGTTCAACACACATCATAGCAAGCTGTCAAACTCCCAGTTGAACTCCTGAGGGTATACTTTGCATATTAGCCTTTTATATAGAGAGAGAGATTTGGAAACCATGAGGTGTTCATTGACTTGCCCAAAAAGACTGGTAGGTATTAGGATTGGGACCTTCTGTCCTAGCCAGTTTGGCTCAGTGGATAGAACATTAGCTTTCGAACTAAAGGGGTTCAAGGGCATGTACCTTGGTTGAAGGCTTCCTGGCCCCGTGGGGGAGGCAACCAACCAATTGATGTGTCTCTCTCACATCAGTGTTTCTCTCTATCTCTTCCACTCTCTCTAAAAAATCAATGGGAAACTATCCTTGGGTGACGAGGATTAAACAAAATCCTGGGCGCTTCTGATTCTAAAGCGCCCAGATGATAATTTTTACATTTTTCTGAAAGTTACATGTGGCAACATGTAGGCAGTTTTGGCAGGGGAAGAAAGTCCTTGGACCGTTTTAGTGATGCATAAAGGCAGATCTGAAACAAGAGTCTGAAAAGCAGAATAACTTATCAGCATGTGTGTGTTTGTGGAGCCCGTAATAGGACTGTGCCCAGAGGTTAGAAGGTTTTCTATCTTTTGCCGAAACCAGTTTAGCTTAGCGGTAGAGCGTCGGTCTGCGGACTGAAAGGTCCCAGGTTCGATTCCGGTCAGGGGCATGTACATTTGTTGCGGGCACATCCCCAGTGGGAGTTGTGCAAGAGGCAGCTGATCAATGTTTCTCTCTCATCGATGTTTCTAACTCTCTATCCCTCTCTCTTCCTCTCTGTAAAAAATCAATAAAATATATATATTTAAAAAAAAAAAGGTTTTCTATCTTTTGATCACTCTGTGGTCTAATAGAAGGGAGGCCTCAGTATTCAAAGGTGAACTTTTGGATTTAGTAGTACCTGTTGTATTATTTCTTAATAGAATTATTTCTTGGCTTCTGTACTGCTAGTGATTCTCTTTCCTTTTAATGCCCATTTCCAGGAGCCTCCAGAAGATGATGCAAACATCATTGAGAAGATCCTGGCATCTAAGACTGTCCAGGAGGTCAGTGACTGATTATTTTGACTTTTATATCACTAGCACAGATTATATCCTCTGTGAAGAGATGTTTGGCTAGCCCAGCTGGTGTTGCTCAGTGGTTGAGCATTGACCTATGAACTGGGAGGTCATGGTTCGATTCCCAGTCAGGGCATATTCTGGGTTTCAGGCTCGATCCCCAGTGTAGGGCATGCAGGAGGCAGCCAATCAATGATTCTCTCTAAATAATGTTTCTATCTCTCTCCCCCCCTCCCTTCTTCTCTCTCAAATCAATAAAAATGTATTAGAAAAAAACACACAAAACCACAGATATTTGGTTAGAGAATCTGGGATGGTCATTCCTGGCTGGAGTATGAGCTAAGCTAGTCAACATTTATTTTAGGACATAAAATTCTTAAATCTTTGAGAATGACCCAAACTGGTTTTTTGTTATCCTAGCAAAAGATCTTTATCCCTTAGTTTCTGTAGGCCATTGGAAGTCATCAGAGAACCAAGAAGAAGAGATGGCAAGGTGAAAACATTGGAGTTTTTCCTTTAGATATCCCAGGGCCATTGTAGGTGTTCTCTAGAGAAAGTTCCTGAGTGAAAGTGCCAGTGAGAGCATAAAGACTTCAAATATTTATGAAAGTAACATTCCTTATTTTGAGAGTGAACACCACTGGTGTTTTGGGGTGACGGTCATGGGGGACTCCAGAGTTATAATACATGTTCTTACTTCTGCACCAGGCTCTGCTCCTCATGGGTCTCAGAGCCCTGGGCCAGTTTGTGGTTATCAGATGAACCAACGCTGTGCCAGCTGGACCTTGGAAGGACACTGGGAGGATCATTTTTGTCTTTTTCACCTTATACCTAGCTATGAATTCAGCCTTATTAACCCTGCTCAGTAGCTGTCAGAAAAAGACCTGGAAAAACAAATATGTCCTGTATTAAAACCAGGCAGAGATGTTGGTTTACGTTCTTTCTGCATACAAAGGCGATCTGCAGCTATTTAGGCTGATTAACTGCTTGCTGTTGGTTACAGGTTCATCCTGGAGAACCCCCATTTGACTTGGAGCTGTTCTACGTTAAGTATAGAAATTTGTACGTCTATTTAATGTATTATTTGCATTTGAATTATATAAATGAAACTTCCTTTCCCTATCACATCATCTGTATTTTTCAAGAATGACCCCTAAGGCATGACCCACAGTTAGTTGACTCAGGTTCCCCTTATGTGATAGTGCTCAACTTTGGCTGCACATAGATCACCTGAGAGCTTTTAAACTCCTGAAGCCCTTGGTCCACTCAACACCTGTTGACTCAGACCCTGGGAGTATGTCCCAAGAATTGGTGTTTTTTTTAAAACTCCCTGTGTGGTTCTCATTTGCACCCAGGTGGAAAACCACTGTTCTTATAGCCTAAATCCACCCCTCTCCCCCTCCTCTCCCCCCTCCCCCCCCGCCCCCATGCATTTTTCTTTAGTTCTCTGCAATGCGCCCCTTCTACTTATGTTGTAATGATAGCCTGCCTGTATCTGACCTCTGCTCTGAGCCAGTTTCTTCCTATAGAAGCTGCAGAGTGCTCCATTACTTGAAATTGCTGCATTGTTTCTCCTGTTTGTGCCTTTCAGGGCAAAGCCCTTGTAGGCCAAATCTCCAGCAGTTTCACAACAAACCACTCCAGTTGCTTCTATGCTAGATGTTTATCCAGTTTATTGAGACATTTTAAAGCTCAGTGATTTGCTAGTTCCATGCTTGTCTCACAAGTTGTGTGTCATTGGATAGTTCCTACTTACACTGTAAATGGGCCACGATGGAAGAGCTGGAAAAGGATCCTCGCATCGCACAGAAGATCAAGCGGTTTAGGAATAAACAAGCCCAGATGAAGCACATTTTTACTGAGGTGAAGCAATATTACTAATTAATCTGACCATTGCTTTTCTTGCAGAATTCGATACTGGGTATAAGTTTCTTAAATTGATGTTTTGTGTAGATCTGTTGCTTAAGCCAAATTGATAAGTATGCACTGATTTATAGCAAAACTAGTCCAGATTTAAGCCAGAGAAAACAAATTATCCACCGAGGTGTGAAGAGCAAACCTTACAAACTGACAACCCATAAGCAAAGTCATCTCAGTCAATACCAGTGAATAGCTAGGGTAAGAGGAATATGCACCCAATTCTTTCATCTCCCAACTCCAAAGGCAATTCCAAAGAGATCCAGAATTTGAATGTAAATGAAAACAAAGTCCAAATGTCCAAAAATAAATAAATTTATTTTAAACTTGGGAACTTCTAAGCATGAGGCCTATAGCAAGAGGAAGGGTTGGTGAATTTAGATCTTAAACAAATCTATAGTATCTATACATTAAAATACTATAAATAAATCTTAAATAGTGTGTATGTATAAATATTTTTATTATGGGCATACATAATAAAATTATATATACATATATATACATACATTATATACACATACATATTTTTAATAATACACATATACACATACATACATGGTATACATTTTTATCTAATGTGAGAACCTTCCTATTTACGTTTTTATACATACACATAAATTATACACATGCATATACATATAACCAGTTGTTTAATAAGAAATACTCTTATAACTAAGAAAAAACATAAAACCCAAAATAGAAAAAAATGGACAAATTAACCTATAAAAATGTAGTTAATTTGACTAGTCAAAGAATGTAAATTAAAATGGGAGTCTTCTAATTTTTTCTTATCAAGTATTTGAAGGTTTTAAAAAGAAGTACTGTCGGTTGCTGGTGAGGGTGTAGGGAAGAGACACTGGTACATCATTGGGTGGGAGCATCCCACCATATGACTGTCAGAAGAACGGTATGGCAAACGACATCAAATATCTCAGAATTTGCATGTCGTCTATCCCAGCAACTAACTGTCCTTTATTTTAAGGAAACTATCAAGTCTTTGTGCAAAGATTTAACAGTGATAAACAGTTGTTTATATTGGTGAAAAATTGAAAATGAAGTGTTAGATAATAGACTTTTGTTAAGTTATACAGCCTACAAGATGGAATACTGTGCAGTCAGTAAAAATGGTGTTGGCGGACAATTATTAATGACATGGAAAATCTCTTCTCTGGTTGATGGAATTGTGGTGACTTTTATTTTCTTATTTTTTAACATGTGATTTTTAAATTTTATTTAGATAATTTCTGAAGAAATGAAGCAATAAAAATTATTCTTAAAATGTAGTCATAAGTATTGGACCTTAAGAGAGCACTCAGATGTTATCAAATTGTAGTAAATTGCTACAGATATTTACCAATTATTTATGTTGTACTCCCTTTTCTTGTGACAAAAATAAAATTATTTTAGGATAATGTCAGTAAGCATTCTTCATGCCCAACATGGGGTTCTTCTTCTTTAACCTTAATGTTTGGCCCAGGTCTCTCTCCCTCCCGCCCCCTCAGTAATTGTTCTAATGCCTGTGAGAACTATTTTCAGGGCATCATCCCTCTGGTAGAGAATTGGGAAAGGAAGGTGACTACTAGAATTAGAAAACCGTCTTGAAGCCTTGTTGGATACTCTCCCTCTATTCTTGGAATATTTTTTCCACACTCTATTTTAGCAAGTATTTGCAGTGCAGTAACTTGTTTACAACATGTCTGTATCTTCCATTTTGAGCCCTGGAGACAGATAGGGTCCTGTCTTCCTCGTATTTCTAGCCCTGGTACTAGGCACAGAGTCGGTGCTCAGTAATTATCTGGCTGTTCCCAGGGAGTGAGAATGGTTTGACCTATGCTATTTGTTACCCTGCTCCAGAACCGTCTCAATTTCCCATTTTCTTGGAATAAATTCCAAGCTTCTTAATATAGCCTTCCAACCCCATGTGTCTATTTTCTGACTTATTCTTAAGGGTGTGAGTTTTCCTTGATTGGAATATAGAGAAAAGAAATTGTGTTGGGTTTACAGAAATACTGATAATAGCAGTTTATACTCTTGTGGGAAGAAAAGGGTTGGAGGACATCATGAAATTAAAGAGTAATCCTGGGGACTAGTTCCTATAATACTGTCTTTGGTTTTAACATTTTTATAATAACTTGGTTAAATGCTATTCTTGTTTTTTTTAATACATATTTTATTGATTTTTCAGAGAGGAATAGAGAGTCAGAAACATCAATGAGAGAGGAACGCCTCCTCCTGCACACCCCCCACTGGGGATGTGCCCGCAACCAAGGTACATGCCCGTGACCGGAATCAAATCCAGGACCCCTCAGTCCGCAGGCCGACGCTCTACCCACTGAGCCACACCGGCTTCAGCTAAAAGAGATAATAACTTAGTTTTGAGTAGAGTGTCTGCGTATCTATTATTTCCAGGTGCTTTATGAGGTAGCCAGGGGAGAGGGTAGTCCGGTGAAGGAGACTCCAGTTGGAGAGACTGGAGTTCCCATACTCCATAGGGATAGAGGCCCAACTAAAACCCTTCCAGAAAACCAGAAATAACGCTGGGAGACTAAATGACAAAGATAATGTTCAGGTTTACCTGGACAGGCCAGGATGACTGAAATACAATGGTTGTAAATGTAATGTCGTACATTTCTATTTAAAGATCTTTACATTTTGGAGTGTGCAGAATGGCTGGATAGCAGTTCTAGGGAGGAAAGATGTTGCCAGTTTAATTACAAGTTTGCTGTGAGCCAAGAATAGGGTGTGGCTGTTTAAAAAGTAACATTAATCCTGCACTGTACCAATTGAACAGCCCTGCTGTGCCTTTCTGTTTTTATTCCTAAACTAGAGGCCTGGTGCACGAAATTCATGCTTGGTTAGGATTCCTTCCCCAGCTGCTAGCTGAGGCCTTTCTTCATTCCATGCCGCCCCCTGGTGGTCAGCGCATGTCATAGCAAGTGATAGAACTCCCAGTCTCCCAGTTGAATTCCTGCGGGTTCACTTTGCATATTAGCCACACACACACATATAAATATATATATATATATATATATATATATATATATATATATATATGTAGTTTATTTTTGAGTACCAGGATTCAGTGAGGTTCTGCAAAACCTGAGGGCAGCTGCAGGAGGACTGTAATGGTAGTAAAGGGATCCAGCCCTAGCTGAGTGATTGAGAAGAAAGGTGGAAAGCAGACTGCATGCTGCTAGGAGCCTGGGTTCTGGAGCCAAACTATTCCCCCTTCACGCATGCACACATCCGCTTGGCATTGGGCCACTTGCATAACATCCTTCCTAATAGTGTCAACCTCACAGGATTCCTGTCACAAAACATTCACACAGTGTTTATAGCAGTAGAAGTGCTTAGCACAATACCTGACCCACAGTCACTCTTCCACAAGTGTGAACTCTGTGTCATTAAGGGATCTGGAAACATTAAAGCATCTGAAGGAAAGTTAGACGCCCGGGGCTATTTAACCCAGCTCGGGAGGGGTTGTTGAAGAGCCAGCACAGAGAGGTAGAATCAACTTGGTCACCATTGCTGGAGGAAGCAGTTCTCACCAGTGAATCACAGTTGCAGAATGGAAATGGAGCTGTAATTTAATAGTCATGATGATAAAGATCATGATGCTACTGCTGAGCAGGCAGAGGTGGAGCTGTCTTGGCAGTGGGTCAGGTCTCAGAGTAAAGTATATTTCTGAACATGGGAATAATTGGATCTGAGGGTGGATTTGCCAGGAATGCTATATAAAGTATTGTTGCACTGGTTAGAAGATGAAACTAGATAGCTCCAATTTAGGGGCCATAAGAACATTCCAACTGTCCAGGATTGGGACTTCTGTTTAAGAAAGACCTGGGTAAACCTCCAGTTCTCACAGCTCTGTGTTCTTTGGTCATGTTACGTAGCCTCTCTGAGTCAGCTTTCTCATGTGTAAGTGTTAGTGTACTACCTCCTCCGTAAAGTAGTTTTGAGACTTAAATGAAAGCATTTAATGTGATTCCAGACACACATTAAATATTTCTCAGTGCAGTTTATTGTTGTTTTGTGAGTACCCCCCCCCTTTTTTTTTAAAGCAAATGTATATAAAGATAAACAGATCCTAAGATCAGTGAATTTTTACAAAATAACCATCTCCTGAGTCAGGAATTGGAACATTATCTGCACCCTAGAAGCTCCTCTCATGCCTCCTTCCATATTAGCTATTACTGTTATTTATATTAAGAAGGAAAAGAACCCTAACCGGTTTGGCTCAATGGATAGAGCATCGAGGATCCCAGGTTCGATTCCGGTCAAGGGCATGTACCTTAGTTGCGGGTACATACCCGGTGGGGAGTGTGCAAGAGGCAGCTGATGGATGTTTCCCTCTCATCAATGTTTCTCTCTCTCTCTCCCTCTCCCTTCCTCTCTGTAAAAAAAATGTGTGTGTGTGTGTGTGAGTGTGTGTGTGTGTGTGAGTGTGTGTGTGTGTGTGTGTATAAAAGAAGAAGGAAAAGAAACCAGGGTGTCCAGGGGTGATCTTTGGAACGGAGCGGTAAGGAAAGGGCACTCTTGGTGCTGGTTTTGGCACAGCACTACAGTAACCAGCAGGAAAGTCTTCCCCTGGCTGTGGGCAGCCTGTGAGGTGTGGTTGGTTTCTTCCTATGTAGTCATGGAGAGCAGGCTTTAGGACGGTGAAGAGTGTCTGAGGTGAATTCTATTCTCAGGTGAACCACTTCATGTGTTTCCTCATAGGTCCGGAGTAGGGGTCACTTAAGGGTAAAGCCGGAAGTGGGATTTGAGGGCAGGAGACACTCTTAAACTTTTCTCTGTTTGCATTAGCCTGACGAAGACCTGTTCAACCCAGACTATATAGAAGTTGATCGCATCTTGGAGGTGGCCCACACCAAGGACGCAGAAACAGGAGAGGTGGGTGTTTCTTATGCTGACTCTCCTGGTGTCCTCCCTTCTTACCTTACATTGTGCTTGTTTTGTCAGCATGTGGTCTTTGTTTTAATGGCACCTGTGTGTTGTGTTGTATTATAGGGTGGGTTTCCATAAGTTGGATCGAGTATGACCGATGCCTTTTATCTAGTAGAAAGAACGTTTTTCTCTCTCTCCTTCCCCCCAGGAAGTGACGCATTACCTGGTGAAGTGGTGCTCACTGCCCTATGAAGAAAGCACATGGGAGCTGGAGGAAGACGTGGATCCTGCGAAAGTTAAAGAATTTGAATCTCTTCAAGTTCTCCCTGAAATTAAGCACATGGTACTCTATCAGTTATATGTAGAGTTTGATGTTTCATGTCGAAAGATAAAGTAATAAGATTGCTAGTGTGTTTATGGAGAATTTAAGGAATTTGCGATTTTTATTATACAGGCTTTCTGCCTGATGTTCTGACTCTAGAAACTAATCAAAATATTTGTCCCAGGTACTTTCCTGAGCTCACACCACAGGCACAAAGAAGTAAAAGAAATTCTGTCTATAGAAACTAAAAAAACTAATATTGGCTTTCAGGGAAATTAAAATATAAGTAGGATTGGAGTAAACTTATTTTCTATGTAAAACAGTATAACATTTAATAAGATTGGTGGATCTGTTTCTCTTTTTTATTAATTACTTGCAAATATTACAGAGATATTCTTAGTTTACCCAGTGAAACCTAGAAAATGTAGGGCCTAAACATGGATCAGAAAGCAGTCACTGTAGTCTGAAGCCAGATGTAGGGCAGTGTTTTGAAATTTACCACTTTCCCCATCATTATTCTGTGCCCATTTGTTTTGTGCTTCTAAAACATCAGTCTCTAGTATGTGCTCTCTGTTTTTCCCCACTAGGAGCGGCCTGCTTCAGACTCCTGGCAGAAACTCGAAAAGTCTCGTGAGTATAAGAACAGTAACCAGCTCCGGGAGTACCAGCTGGAGGGAATGAACTGGCTTCTATTTAACTGGTATAATAGGTGAGGATCCAGAACCATATCTGTCTTCATGGGGATTTTTTAACCAAGTGTTTGTACTTGGAGGCTGGCTGCCTTGGCCCACTTAGAGTAGAGCAGCAGAGAGCTGAGCGGACAGCGTAGCCATTGGTTCAGGCTGGCGGTCCTTCCATGTCCCTCGTAGTAGGATCATATTTTTATGTCAGGCATTTCTCCCAACCAAAGGAATGGTCTTTACACATCATCGACTTCGTGCCTTTTTTTTTTTTTTTTTTTTCACCTTTGCCGATCTAGGCAAAAGGTAAGGCTCTATCTTGGTTATGCTCAAAGGATCCTTTAAACGTGTGTTCTATCTCTGTCTTTAGCAAAAATTGGCTTTAAAGAGGACTAGATCTGGATTCTTGCCCCAACTCCGCTACTTGTTTGTGAGCCACAGATGTTCTGGACTTGTTCTAGAATGCTCAGGTTGGACTCTTTATCAGAATAGATGAAGCAGATGAAGTTTGAGAAAGATGGGTTGAGATTTTCTTAACATTCTAGAATGTCCCCCCAAGTATTGATTTTTAAAGACAGCATGTTGTAACGGAAAACACACCAAGATAGGACTCTGTTCTGGCACAGTCTTCTGCCAGTATTCTCAGCTCAGAGCGTTGCTTTCTAGGTCTGAGGTTGCCCTCTAAACAGTGAAGAGTGAGACTGGATGCTTTAAGTATCTTGGCTCTGTACCATCTGTGACCCTGAATCACCAGACGAGACAGGCATCTTTTCTCTGATTAGAAATTTATTATGTGGGTTAAGTTTGTCCTTTGATAACACAAGTGAAAGACAATGAGAATCTTGTAACTTATCATTTTATTTTTGCCTTTGCTTCCATGAAGTTTGTTGGGTACAGAAACTGGCTTTGGTTTGAGGCATATTTTGTTCTCTATTTTTTTAATTTTTAGTGTGTTTAGTTTATATTTAAATGGATCCATTTCATGTATTTTCTCACAATCTGCCATAGTTCCTTTTTGGAAGCAGGCAAGATATGACTAAGAATAATAAAAACTTGCCTTAGTTGCATCTCTGGCAAATGCTGATAAGACCTTCACTGACATTAACTTACAGGTCAAGGTATGCATCTGAAGTATCTTTTTAGTTTAACCAACCTGTACCTCTGTCCTGTATTGATTGTGAATTGCCTGTATTTCTTACTCTCTGCAGGAAAAACTGTATTTTGGCTGATGAGATGGGCCTAGGGAAGACCATCCAGTCCATTACATTCCTTTCAGAAATATTCCTCAGGGGAGTCCATGGCCCTTTCCTCATCATCGCCCCCCTCTCCACTATCACTAACTGGGAGCGGGAGTTTCGGACGTGGACAGAGATGAATGCCATTGTGTACCACGGCAGCCAGATCAGTAGGCAGATGATCCAGCAGTATGAGATGGTGTACAGAGATGCACAGGTGAGCCTCATGCCGACACAAAGACTCAGTGACCCTCGATGTAATAGTTGAGAGCAGCATTTCGGTCACTTATCTTCTGGAGTGTAGTGTCTTGTGCCATGGGTTACTATTTACTGATTATGTAGAGTCAGTCAAACGCTTATTGAGGCAGACTTCTTGCTCCTCCCTGATAGTTTAATTTATGATAAACACAGAATTATAGGGCATGCTTTACACTCCCTGAGATATACCAGCGACCCCTTTTAGGACTCTGAAAGCTTGGCTTCTGGGTTGGATTATGAAGTTACTTTTACACACAAAATTTTATCTGAATTACTATATGCTCAGTGAAGAAAGTGAGCAGCAGAATTGTTGAATAGAGAAGGGGTTCCTAGCCAGGGAGTTTGGAGAAGAGGTTAACAGATTTGACAGGGAAGAATAAAGAGAAAACAAGATTTAAATCATTAAAAGCACAATAGGATTTTAAAAAAGCTTTCATTAAGTATTATAAGGACTTTGCCGAGTATGCTTGTCCTGGGCACTGGATTTTTAAGTAAGGTGAAAATTAAAAGAATCTAATCAGAGAAAAGCCAGCCGGGAGCTTTGTAACTGCAGGAGACACTTGGAAGGAATTTACAGTGTGCTCTGACATGATGTAGCTCTGTTCTTTATATGTGATGGCAGCACTGAGACAGGCTAAAAGACAAAGGTGTGCCCTCCTGGTAGCACCTGTCCCAGGGGAATCAAGATCTTTACTGTGACTCTGTGCTAGAATCCAAGTGACAAATTGAAATTAATTGTATCTGAAAGGTAGCAAAGAAAGTTTGCTTGGGCTTACAAGCTATGCATGGTTTAGACCAGTGGTCGGCAAACTCATTAGTCAACAGAGCCAGATATCAACAGTACAACGATTGAAATTTCTTTTGAGAGCCAAATTTTTGTGGAAGAGCCACACTCAAGGGGCCAAAGAGCCGCATGTGGCTCGCGAGCCACAGTTTGCCAACCACGGATTTAGACAGACTCGTGACTAGAATATGTGAATCAACACCCATCTGCTTTCCTTACCCTGGCAGTTAATAAATAGAAAGCTTCTTTGCTGTGCCTTCGTACTGCTCACCTGTCTCACCCTTGTGAGGACACATGCTCTCTTCTGTTTCACCCATGTAATGAGTCTGTCTCTTACCTGAAGAGCTGGTGCGTACTTGTTCTCTTTTCTCAAACGAGGAAGAGCAGTGCTTCTTGGCTTCTCACCTAGGCCCCGGCATTACTAGTGCTGGCTCCTCTTGGCCAGCTGGTGCCCATTCGCTGGATTCTGTGGCCATTGCATAAAGTTCTGCCCGCTGTTGTATCATCCTCAGGGAAACCCCCTTTCAGGAGTCTTCAAGTTCCATGTTGTCATCACAACATTTGAGATGATCCTGGCAGACTGCCCAGAGCTGAAGAAGATTCACTGGAGCTGTGTGATCATCGATGAAGCCCACAGGTTGAAGAACAGGAACTGCAAACTTCTGGAGGGTCTAAAGCTCATGGCCCTGGTGAGAGTGCAAGCTCTTCACATAAACAGCGGGGCTTCTCTTCACTATGGAGGAAGCATTATTCATGTGACTGACTTCTGAGTAGTTGCTTTACTCTACATTTATGCTTGCCCTCTATAGCTATGATAGTGTAGGAATCAAATGTGTGTGTGTGTGTGTTTTGTTATGAACTGGGTTACCAGTTTGACCTTTGCCACAGATTGATTCCCAAAGGAACACAAGGGAATCTTAAATCCCAATAAATTTGTGACCTGAAACTATAAAGTGCTCTGGTTTGTTTCTGGGTCTCTGAATGACCTGATACAAAAGATTATGGCTTTTTAACATCATTGTCTTGACACAGTGCCCAGTTTGTGGGGGAAGGCACTCAATAATATTGAATGAATGAATGGTTTCTGTAATTAACATGAAATTGCTGCTGGAATTATTAATGTGAAAGGAAGGTTGATCTGTCCATTAGCTGTACTCTCATGAATGTTGGCACCCTGTCTTTTCATTAACGCACAATAGAACTGCCCCAAATTGAGCACCCTGGCCTGCTGTTTGGGGAGCTCAGACACTCACCCTGTGTCAATCTGTGCAGGAACACAAAGTGCTGCTCACTGGGACCCCCTTGCAGAACTCTGTGGAGGAGCTCTTCAGCCTGCTCAACTTTCTGGAGCCATCGCAGTTTCCTTCAGAGACTGCTTTCTTGGATGAGTTTGGAGATCTGAAAACAGAGGAACAGGTAAATAGGGGCCTGAAGGAACAAGGTGACAATGTGATGATTACCATCAAGGAGAGAAACCACTGTGGAGTCAGGGGTTGGCAAGTTCTGACATCCATTATTTAATGTATTTTTTGTTTATGTTGAGGAGGATAAGCTGATTACTAGCAGTTCTTATTACTGCAAAGAATAAATGAATCAGCACCTAAAATATTTTATGTTGACGTATCAGGCCTCAAGCCTTCACTAATCTCCCATGTAAGTTCAGTGATTTGGGGCATAGCTGTGATTTCAGGATCATGGTGCTTTCTTTTGCTCCCCTCCTCCTCCTTCCTTCCTCCTACATAATCTGCAACATATTCTCAGGCTCATTTTTTAGTTCAACAAAATACTCAAGAGCAGTGAAGAAAAGAAGGCAATTATATATTAGAGTAGTGGGTAAGTCCATCTTTGTCGATATCAACTGAATTTCCTCAATTTTGAAAGATTTAGTCCTGAGTCTGGCTTATTGGACTCAAAGCTAATTTAAAACGGCCAACATTAATAATTCTACTAAAGATTACAGAAATAAGCCAGACAAGTTTAAATGCCTCAGGAGGAACAAGAATAGAATTGGGGGTTTTATTAGGAGGAAAAAGGTCACATCTGTTTGGAAATCAGGAAAGCTTTCACAGAGAGATTACAGTTTGAAAGTGGACTTGGAAGAGTGGATAATTTTTCAGTAGGTGGAGAGAGAAGAGATGGTGACTATTTTACATAGGAAGAATAGGAATTTATTGTTTTTTTAAACAATTTATTTAGTAAGGAATCATTCACATAAGCTGGAAACAGGATGGATGTTTATGGAGTACTAGAGGCCCTGTGCACAACATTTGTGCACTCGGCGGGTGGGAGGGTCCCTCAGCCTGGCCTAGGCCCTTTGGCAGTCCAGGGGCTGTGGGGAGTGGGCCTGCCGCTCCACTCACCAGCTGTGAGCCCAGCCTCTGGCTCTGTGGTGCTCCCCCTTTGGGAGCACACTGACCACCAAGGGGCAGCTCCTGCATTATCTTATCTGTCCCCTGGTGGTCAGTGCACACCATAGCAATCAGTCATATCGCTGTTCAGTCTATTTGCATATTAGCCTTTTTTTATATAGGATGAGGACAGAGGTTCAGAGCTATATTTGGGGAAGAATTTGGAGGGTATTAGAGGAGCAATGCAAAGCTTTGATTGCAGGAGTGACATAATTAGTTCTGCTTAATTAATCTAGTAATGGTGTGACAGTGGGTTAGGGCAGAGAAAGTAGGGACTGAGAAACCTAGGGACTTCCATTAACAGATGTCAAGGGTACATACACTCTGTGGTTCAAATCTGTTTGCTTCTACTTCTGTGGCAAGGCAGCCTTTGAGAGCAGTGAATAATCAAACTGAATTCCATTCTGCTACATGTGCAGTATCTAATGATCCTTCAAAAGCCAGCTCTAGCCCCCTCCGTTTTTGGACCATTAGAAATGCATTCTTTTCTTCCATTGCACTTATTTTGTAGTATGCATTTTTTTCTTCTTCCTAGACTATGGCTTTCTTGAGGAAAAGGCCCACATCTTCTCTAAAGCTGTGTGTGTTGTATTGACCAACACAGTATCTGGCACACGGTATAGTCTAAATCAGTGGTCACCAACCGGTGGCCCGTGAGGTTAAAAGGTTGGTGACCACCCATCTAGATGATCCAAGGTATGAAACAAGTGAAGGGCAAAGTGGAACCCAGCATGTGGCATATGGGCATTTGTGCCTATTTCTCTCTCTGGGTTCTTATGTAGTAACTAGAGGCCTGGTGCATAGATTCATGTACATTGAAAGGAAATTAATTAGAAGGTGGCACCTAGGGTGGCAGCAGAGCTTGAAGGGTTTCTGCAATGTGAGCAGGGTCCCTCTGGCAGGCGGGATCCCTTGGCCAGGCCTGAGGGGATTGGGCCAAAACCAGCAGTCCAGCATCCCTTGAGGAGTCCCGTTGTACAAGGTGGTACTCTGCAAAGTTGCTGCAAAGTTGCTGCATTGAGCATCTGCCCTCCTGGTGGTCAGTGTGCATTATAGCTACTGTCCAGTCTCTTAGCCTTTTATATGTATAGATTCCTTATCCACTTGGGGGATTAGATTCCTAAGTACCATGGTAGGTAAAATGAAAGTCTCAAATGAGGTAGGTTTAAAATTGGAGTTAGGAGAAAACTACAAAAATGACATCAAATGTGTATGTTTTAAGTCACAGTAAATAAAAGTTGTAGAAAGCATCTGCTTCCAAAGTAAAGCATTTCCATCATTGTTTAAAACCTGCTCCAGTAAATAGCCCTTCTGAATCACTCTCTTCATGAAGCATTGATGTGTGCACAACTTATTTATGTAGAATCTACTCCTTTAAAATTTTTGAACAGGACTTTATGACTCAAAACTCGATCTTTTGCACTTCCATTTTCCTGTATTTTATTTTCCCACCAGGGTTACTCTTATTGATATCACATTTCAGCTCAGTATTAACTTAGGTGCCTTGACTTTGAATTATCTTCTTGGGAGTGCAAAGTGAATAGAGTTCTGTTCTGTCATCTTCAGTGCAGAATAGAACTCTGGTCAGTGCAGTCAAAGTGAATAGAGTTCTCTTCTCCAGGCCTGGGCAGTCAGAAGAACAGAAAAATCATAGCAAAGAACATTATCAGGCTGAAAGCACCCCTGATGTGATAGCTTTCATGTTGGAATGGTAGAAGTCACCTTACAGCACCAGCTTTCTATATTCTGCTACCCCCACACACGTTTGCTGAAGTTATTTGTAACATATATGAAGCATCTGTTTCCAGATTGTCTCTACTTCTTAGTGAGATATAATTGACATACTAGTTTTAGATGCACATCTTAATGATTCAGTGAATAGATATATTATGAAATGATCACCACAATAAATCTAGTTTAGTTAATATCCTTCACAGTGCATAGTGACAAATATTTTTCCTAGTGATGAGAACTTTTAAGATCTACTCTCAGCAACTTTCAAATATGCAATACAGTCTTATTAACTATGGTCGCCTTGCTGTTCATCCTGGGGACTTGTTTATTTTGTAACTGGAAGTTTGTACTTTTTGACAACTTCATTCATTTCGCCCATCCCAGGTTGTCTCTACTCCTTACTTTGTTCTTTCAGCATCTAAGTCTTCCCTTTATAATATGTCACTTATACCTCTTGATGTGGCTTAAATATTTCTCAGTTAATTGCTGCACACACGTACATGTTAGATGGGAGAGGTTTGTTTTCTCCAGGCTGGAGAATAGGTACTGTCTTTTGTATTTTCCTTTCTTTATATCTTGTAAGGTTGTCACATAGTTTCTCAGTAAATACTAGTGAATGAAAACCAGGCCCCCTTTTCCCTTTCAGCCTCATGTTCAGGGTTCAGTTATGACCTTTCATTTAGTCTGTTACCACAGTACTGCGCTCACGCGTTTGTAGTGAAGGTAGAATACCCCGTAATCATTAAATCAGGATGTACCTGGACAGGTGAAGAAACTGCAGTCCATCCTAAAACCAATGATGCTTCGGCGGCTGAAAGATGATGTGGAAAAGAACCTTGCTCCCAAACAAGAGACGATCATTGAAGTAGAGCTGACCAATATCCAGAAAAAGTACTACCGAGCCATCCTGGAAAAGAACTTTTCCTTCCTGACTAAAGGGGCATATCAGCACAACATGCCCAACCTCATCAACACCATGATGGAGCTGAGAAAGTGCTGCAACCATCCCTACCTGATCAATGGTGAGTGGGCGATGCAGGGGGATACTCGGGCCTGTTGTGGGTCTCTGCCACAGGCTCCTGATAACCAACAATTGTAGTTACTGAGTACCCATTAGATGCCAGATGTGTGTATTCTCACCTTTTTACAGAGTATTAAACTGAAGTTCAAAGAGGTTGATGGATCTACCTAAGCAGTTTAATGAGTACAAAGAGCCACATTTGGAACTGTTTATCTGAAGATGGGGATGTTACTCATCAGTCTGTTGTCCATTATGTCCTTGTGGGGACAGAATATGTGTTACTTTGTTGGGTAAATGGTCATGATGCAGTGAGTGAAAACTCTGTAGATAAATGAAGTTGCCTATACAATAAGAATAGGAGCCTTTTTTTCCCCCAATAAAACTTTTTTCATAAAATTTTAATTCAATATCTGGCTTGGATTTGCTTATAGTTACATTTTTATGACATTTAAAGATATGCCTATTTGTCAACTTTCCGTAAAGGTTTCTTTAACAGCGTAAGTCATCTTGGTATCTCAAATTCTTCTTTACCTGGTGAGACTTCCCAGGAGAGCAAAGCACCTGAGTTCTCTATACCTGCTGCCACTGCAGAGCCCTCTGCTGGGGCACAGACTAGCGTTGCACGTACAGCATTGCCTCACTGAATGTGGTCCCGGACCCAAGAATTCACTTAATTTCTCCCAGGATCTGTAAGGCAGAAAGCAGCTTTTACCCTTAATGTTTTTTCAAGGAGTATTTTGCTTTGTTTTGTTTTCAGGGGCAGAGGAGAAAATTCTGGAAGATTTCCGGAAAACCCACAATTCTGATGCCCCTGACTTTCAGCTACAGGCCATGATTCAGGCGGCAGGGAAGCTGGTGCTGATTGATAAACTACTCCCTAAGCTAATTGCAGGCGGCCACAAAGTACTTATCTTCTCCCAGATGGTGCGCTGTCTTGATATCCTGGAAGATTATCTCATCCAGAGAAGGTGAGACTGATGTCAAAGCTGCAGGCACTGCCTTCTTTCTGATACCTTTTGATTCATTCAAAAATTGTGCTTTAACAACAACAAAGCATTCAAAAAGGGAGGAAAGGAATCTCTTCTTAAAGATTCTGTAAAACACAGAGTTAATACTTATGACCAAGTATATATCCAAGTTTAACTCTCTAGAGTGAATTTCATAGCCTATAATATAAACCCCTTGGCTTTGCTTAAAAATGATATCCTACATGTTTCTTTATATTCTTTGTAGTTGGATGAAACAATTTAATCAACATTAGAGAAGGTTAAAAAAAAATAATGTGTTTACTTTTGTTGTTTTGCTTAATGAGATGAGAGAAATACATCCTAGAAAGCATCACTATGCATCAGGTTACTAAAAGAGCATAATCTGACAACTCACAGGAAAATAATTTGGGGATATTTCATGTCCTTTCCAGCAAACTCTAGATTTTATGATACACTAGCTATGGCATCCCAGTTTATTTTCTTGTTCATATTCCTATAATTTCTTGATTCTAGGTCCATTCATTACTCATGAAGGTGGAAAGTCACTGGTGTTATTTGGATTCTTTGTGGGTACTGCATTTGTTACGTTGGGATATATCAATGATCTGAAGATGATAAATGGATTTTTAACAACTCTTAATGTTAAGAGATTTTTCAAGATCATAGAAACTGTTAGTCTAGGCATTGCTAAGTTTACAGGAAATTCTTTTTTTCTTAAAATAAAATCATGGCAAATCTCAGTTGTCTAAATATTCTTGTCCTGGAAGATTCTGTTTGTTCTTCTAACATGTAATTTCTAGAAGAAAGTTAAATGGCAAATTTAGGAATGGGTTATGCTGACATTTAATATTTATATAAGTAATTCCTTGAAATCAGAACTCACTTTAGATTAGGGACCCATTGCCAGAACACTTGCTTTTCATAAATATCTTAGTCTTCAAAATATATATATAAAACAACTCTTAGTTTTTAGTTTTTTAAAGAACCCCGCAAAATGAGTAACAGTATAATTAACATACTTTTATTAAGAAGGGTATCCTTATTTAACTCCCTTTATACCATTTTTATTTATAATTTATTGCTTACTTTGTTTTCAAATTACTTAAGTAATACAGTTTCTTCTGATAATATGGACACATATAACACCAACATCTGCCCAACACCCCCATTCAGACTTAGATGCATATCTTCTTAGTCTTTTTTCTTTGTTCATACATATATTTAGCTTTGTTGCTTACTTTTTAAATATTCTACATTCTACTTTGTAACTCACATTTTTATTTAATATATTATGGGGAAAAAAATTTTAATTATTTTCCTATGACACAATTTTGGTGATCTGTTTGATATTCTTATTATGTCTTATGAGTTGTTTTCAAATTTTCAGTACTTTAAGAAACTCTGAATATGCCTTTATAATCATTGTAAATGTTGCCAGTTATTTTTTAAGGACCAATTCTGATGTACATTTTTAAAAGCATTTAGTACATATTTTCAAAACCCCTGTAGATATTTAAATTATGTTTTAGTTTGTATTTCTGATTAGTAATAGGTGAATTTTTATATATATTAATTTATATATATTTTTTTTAAGTTGTTCATGTTCTTTCTCCATTTTCTGTTGCTCTTTGTCTTTGTTTATTAATTTGTAAGATTTGTTAGTTTACTTAAGAATATGGTGTATATATTTCCCCAGTATTGTTTTTGACTTTTGGGTGTGGACTTTTGTATGTTTACTTTTTTCCCAGGAGTTGTAAATTTTATAATAGTTAAATCTCTCCATCTTAAAACAGCTTTAAAATAAATTTAAATTATTAAATCAATATGCTTAAATAGCCTTCACTCACCTATTAACCATTATATCATATGAATATTCTGAGGTGTTTCTTTTATGGTTTCTTTCTCCTGATAACACCTAACACAGTTCTTCTGGGCTTACTATTAATATCATCATTACTCTTCTCCTTTAATTCAGGTGTTTTTTTTGTTTGTTTGTTTGTTTGTTTAATGTTTTTATTGATTTTAGAGATAGAAACATCAATCAGCTGCCTCCTGCAAGACTCCTACTGGGGATCGAGTCCACAATCCGGACATGTACCCTGACTGGGAATTGAACCAGCAATCTTTTTGTGCATGGGACAAAGCTCAACCAACTGAGCCACACTGGCCAGGCCTAATTCAGTTTTTATTTTCATTAAAGTTATGCATTATTCAATATAACTTAAAGAGGCAAATTATTTTACTAGAATTATGAAAAAATGCATTTCCTAATTTATCCCTTCTGGCCCCTAAGTTTTTTCAACCTCAGAAAAGAGTAATTACTTTAAATATAATAATTTATAGTTATATCTAAAAAATGTTAATAATTATAATTTTTTTTGGTTTTAGATATTATCTGTTCTCACTATGTAAATGCCACATGTGCAACTTCCTGTCCTCCCATCTTCCCAAAATGCCACATATTACTTATATTAATGTTCAGTGTTTATTAGGTCTTATGGAAATACTAAATTACAGCTTAGTTATATAGTACCCTGTTATTTCTTTATTGCATAATTTTTATTTTCCCTGAAGCGAAAAATTAGCTTTTTATTTCATTGCTTATTTTTCTGTGTAGTTATTATAATTCAGCTCCACGCTTTACCCTGGTTGCCTAAATCTCCTCTGGTGGTGGTCATGAGCATTCAGTTTCATCTTCTCAGGGTCATCTCTTCTGGGACCTTCTAACATGCTCCTCTGTGTTCAGTGCTCTTCTCACCTAGTACACAGTTGTCATCTGTTACCTCTCTTCCTTCATCATACTTACAAGTTTCTTTCCTTCCCACTTGAATCAAATTTCCTTATTGGTGGATCTCATGTACCTATTCTGGGAGCTTCTGAGAAAGGATGAATGATAAGTGAATTTTGAGATTTTGAAATGTTTGTAGTCTACTCTCATTCTTGAGTAATACTCTGTTTCCCCGAAAATAAGACAGTGTCTTATATTAATTTTTGCTCCTAAAGATGCGCTAGGTCTTATTTTCAGGGGTTGTCTTATTTTTCCATGAAGAAGAATATGGTACACATTTATTGTTAAATGAAAATAAAGGAAATTTATTACCTACATATGGTACGGTAGTACGGTAGTTGTCAACACAAACCAGACAAACTGTGAATCCTACAGTATCAAGAGTTTATTCATTTATTCAATGACATGTCATCATCTTCTGGAACATCATCATAACAATCCAATTCCTGAATTTTCTGGTGAGTTTCTTGTGACTCAATTTCTTTCAGAATCAGTGGACCAAATCTCTCATGTTTAGCCTAGGGGGGCCTTATTTTCGGGGTGATGCCTTATATTTCACTCAGAAGGAAACCTGTAAGTAGGTCTTATTTTCGGAGGATGTCTTATTTTCGGGGAAATACAGTAGTTTGGCTGGGTTTGAGATTCCAAGTTAGAAATCATTTCCCACAGAATTTTGAAGGGTTATTTATTAGTTCATTGTCGTCTTGTATCCAGGGTTGTGGTTTAGAAGTTCAAAGCCCTGTCCTTCTCATTCCCAGTCTGTGTATGTGACTTTTTTTTCTTCTTTTTTTTCTGTTTATAAGTTTTGATATATCTTCTTTGTCCCAGTGCTGTGAGGTTTTACAATGAACTGGGATGCATTGAATTAGATACTAAGTAGTTTTTCCTATCTGAAATCTAAGTTCATCAGCTCTGGAAAATTTTCTTGGATTTTATCTTTCATTATTTCATCATGCTTTGTTTTATCTTTGTGGAACTCCTGTTATTTGTATGTCAGATCTTTTGAATTGATCACCTGATTTTCCTTTTTTCTCCATCTTATATTTTGCTATATTTTCTGATAGAATTCTTTTATTTTCTCTTCCAATTTTATATTTTATTGATTTTACACAGAGAGGAATTGAGAGGGATAGAGAGCTAGAAACGTCGATGAGAGAGAAACATCGACCAGCTGCCTCTTGCACACCCCCCCACTGGGGATATGCCCGCAGCCAAGGTACATGCCCTCGACTGGAATCGAACCCAGGACCCTTCAGTCCGCAAGCCGACGCTCTATCCACTGAGCCAAACCGGTTTCGGCTCTTCCAATTTTAACCCTGGGTTTTCTATATATAATTATATTTTTAATTTCCTAGAGCATTTTCTTCTTTAAATTTAATTTCACTTCTTACAACATTGCACTGGTTATTTCATAAGTGCAGTGTCTTCTTTCGTTTTTCTGAAATAATCATGATTTGTTTTTTCTTCCTGCAGCTTTCTCCAAGTGAGAAAAGTATACACACACACACACACACACACCCCGGATTTTCCGGTGTATAAGACAACTTTTGAAACGAAAAAACGCCTGCTCAGATTGGCCAGAGTCAGAGAGGCGGTCTATTAAAAAAAGAACTGGTGTTGCCTCGGAAGTGGGGGGTAGTCTTATACAGCAAATATAGGCCTAAACCTATGTTTTAACTGTAAAATTAGGGGGTTGTCTTATACGCCGGAAAATACAGTTGTGTGTGTGTGTGTGTGTGTGTGTGTGTGTGTGTGTATGTGTGTGTGTGTGTGTGTGTGTGTGTGTACACATTTATATATTTATATCTTTTATATTAGAATTCTGGGTTTGTTTACTTGTTTTTCTTTCTTTCAATACTTTTAAGTATTATTCCACTGTGTTCTGGCCCCCATATGAGAAGTTCTGCAGTCATTTAAATCACTGTTCTCTTGTATGTAATACTTTATTCTGTGTAGTGAGATTTTCTTTTGATTTTGGATTCGCAATTTGACTGATGGGTAGGATTCAACCTCTTCAGGGTTCATGGAGCCTCTTGAATGAACGTGTAAACGTGTATCATCAAATTTGGGAGGATTTGAATCTCTAATCTTCTATTTTGTTATTCCTTTTGCCCCAGCCTCTGGTTTCTTTGTAAGACTCCAATTACCTTTTGATGTTGTCTCACAGATTCTTGTTCTGTCTCCCTGCCACCCTCCGATCCTTTTTCTCTTGTTTTGATTTCTCTGTCTTCACGTTCTGACTCTTCTCTGCTAATTCTTTCATGCTTATTAAACCCATCCAATGCTTTCTTTACTATACAGATTATATTTTAGTTCTAAGTTTCATTTGTTTCTTAGTTTGATGTTTCTCTGCTGTGATTTTCTTTTTGTTATGAAGTTCTTATCTGATAATTGTAACTTTTTGGATTTGACACCTGTTGATTGAATTTTTTGCTCTTGAGGATGGGTCATATTTTTTCCTGTTTTTTCATATGTTACACAATTTTTTTTTTTCATGGACATTGTGAATATTTTGTTGTGGAGATTCAGGAATCTGTTACATTTCCATGAAGATGATGGTTTCTATTTGGAGGTATTATATGAGATGTGACTAAAAATGCAAACTCTGTCAATGTCTCTAGTAGATAATAGCTGCAGTCTCAGCTCAGACCACTCTTGGTCTGCCCCAAACATGATTGAGTCTATTTTGAAGAAGTGGCGTCAGAAGAAGTTTAAGTTTAAAAAATGTGGCTCTCAGAAGAAATTTCAATCGTTGTGCTGTTGATATTTGGCTCTGTGGGCTAATGAGTTTGCCGACCACTGCTCTAGCCAAAAGGATGGGAACTTGATTGTACCTGGAGCTGATAGTGGGGAAGCAGGGTGGAGAGAGGTTGGGAGGTCACACTCTCTCTTCCCTTTTTTCATTCTAATACTTCTACCTTTAACTGAGACTGGAACCCCTTCGGGTAGAGAAGGGTATGGCTCTTATGTTTTATCCTCTCAGGTCAGGGATGTGTGATCTAGAGGGCTGATATTCAACCAGTTCCCCTGGTTTTTAGACTCTTTGTATCCCCATTTTTCTGATGCCATCAATACCCAATCCCTTTGGGTATTCTGCAGTATTAAATCAGGTTATTTCTCACCTGGGATTCTGCTTTCTTTAAATACCATATAGCTGATTTTCCATCTTCAAGAATGTTGTTGTAATTTCTCCTGTTTCTGGGTTTATTTGGGGGAGTGTATTCTTTATCATTTTACTAGAAGTTTGGGAAGATAAAGAATAAAATATGCATGTTAATTCATAATCTTTAACTGGATTTTTTTTTTGATGTCAGTCTGCAATCCTTCTGTAATTTTGATAAATCATATATAACGGGCATTTAATCTAGTTTATTTCTAAGTATGTCTAATTTCTAATTAAATGGTCCATGTTTTCCCCCTATTCATCTAATACACTATTCATTAAATATACTGAGATATTATAATATATATGCTGGGTATATCCCTAACCTTTCTGTTCTGATCAATAGTTTTATTTTTTTCTCATATATAATTGCAGATAAACTTCAGAATTATTCTTTTTTAGTCTATCCTTGACTACTTCAGTCTCTCACTATTAAAAAATTGTGTGTGTGTGTGTGTGTGTGTGTGTGTACACACACATTTACACGTCTGTATTTATCCCTATATACATATATCTATTTATTGGGATTTTATTGCTTTTACACATTTAGTAGAGTAGAATTGACATCTTTACACAACTGAAGAACATAATGACACTTATTCAGGTCTTTCATATACACTGTGGATTTAGTAAATTTTTATAAAGTGCCTTCCTTGTGCTAGAACTTCTGTAGATGTTAGGGAGATGGTGAACAAACCAACATAGCCCCTAGTGTCATATTGCCAAATCCTTCATATTTCTTACTAAGTTTCATGCTAAGTGTTTTACATGTTTATGGCTGTTGTGAATGGGTGATTTTTCACTCTTTATGTTTTCCAGCTGTTTATTGTTGGGAGACAAGAAAGTCATTCATTTTCCTTGAGGCCTTGTGAGAACATTTCCTGTTGTGCCAAAATGTATCCCTCCTCCCCAGGCAAAGTGCACAGAGGTTTCCCAGAGTGCCACCTGCTTCTCATTGATGTTTGACAATGGCTCAGAATTACAGTTTCATGAACCACATCGACTCCTAGGGAGTTGGTTCTCAATACAGTTGATGCAGAGGGTTAATTGCTGCACTGATGTTTGATGTGGGGAATTTTATGATGTCTGATTTCTTTATTCAGACTTACTTGCCCTCAAGATTTTCTTTGTTTTTGAGCCTTGTTGCTTCTCCAGCTGTCACTTTGCTTTTGTTCCCATTTAATTTCATGCCAAATTCTCATCCAGGGCGAGGGCACAGCCAAAGGACTTGGCTCTGAAGTGAGGAGATGAGGAACAGTTGAAATAAACTCTAATAATTGAATTTTTATTTTAGTTTAGTTTTTGTGTTCTTAGAGAGCACCCCCTCAGCACTGAACAAGTGATGGAAATGAGGATTCATGTTTCAATCATCCTGCACAATTTCTAAAACCATTATTAAGTCATAGCTGGCAGAATGCTGTCTAATTTTATGGAAATAATTTTCCCCGGGTGATGGCCAAGCTATGTCATCACATTCGTTGACTTCTCCCAAGGCCATGCTACCTCCCTGCCTCATTCTCTGATGGCTGTCAAAGAACATTGAGTCCTCTGTGCCTGTGGTTAGAATGGCTGGCATGTGTGATGGTCGGGGTGGCAGCTGCCCTTGTTTCATTGTGTCAGCCCTGTCTCCTGTCTCCAGACCCTGTGCTGCTTCCACACATCACATGCATGGCCCCACTGCGGAGGGAACCAACCCAGACCAGATCCTCTCTGCATTGGCTTATCAAAATCGTTTTGATACCTGTAGTTTCTTCTTTCATTTGCTGCCAGAGCTACAAGTTTCCTAAGTTTACTGGTGTTTCTTATTTAACTTTCTCTTCCAAGTACTTAGGGAAATCTTTCTGTTCTGTTGCATTGAAATGCAGGGCACAGTATGAAGGCCACACAGCAAACTGGTTAAGAGTGTGGACTTTGTTTGAATCAAATGGATCTGAGTTAACTCACTTACCAACTAGGTCATTGCAAGTTATTTTGATTGTATGGGTTTTTGAAATTTCCTCAAGGGTAAATGGAGATGGTAACAGTAAAACTACCTCATAGAATTATTGTGAGAGTTAAATGTGATGATACATGTCAAGCACTTATCATAGTGCCTGGCACAGAGTTGACACTTTGGTTGCTGCTAATATTGTTGCTGATGCTATTATTAATGATAATGATAATTTTATCTAATTGCTTCATAGTGTTATAGAATTTAGAATGTAACTCTTACCTTTTATCTTATGATATGATCTTCTTAGTCTGCCTTCTTGACAATCCTGTCATCATCACTCATTTTATTTGCTACTGTAGTTTCAAATATTATTCCTAAGTTTGTTACATAAAAAAAAAGAAAGTACACCTGTAATTCCAGGTATGGATGCACTGCAGCTTTGTAAGAGAAAGACAAATGTTTGGACTTGGTTCTTTGCTGTGTTACATGTCCCTTAGAGTCTGAGTTGGTTTGGATTCTTTACATGGATTTCCTCAGGTGATTTCTTTTCATGGATTTTCCTTTTCCTGAAGAAAGTCAGGATTGTGTTGCCCAATTTAGTTATCTGTAGAGTTAAACCCACACAGAGTCATCTGCCCCTAGACTATCTATTATTCTCTTTCCAATTATTTATCTGAATTTTTGGAGGCCAGATTTCCCAAATTCTGGGCAACTGGTAAGATTTTCATTAAGATTCACGTTCATGACTATTGTTGGGTCTGTGATGACTTGGTCCTCTTCTCACAAGGTTCTGTTACTTCTGCTTTACCAGCCAGCTCATGCCGGGGGTCCAGGGCAACATCCCCTTGTTAATTCATGTGTTGGCAGGGGTAAGAAAAGAATAAGACTCTAAGCAGCTATCCAGGTTGCTACAATATTTGAATGCTCTGTTAATAACATTATTTCATCGTAAAGGTACCATCCATGTTTTCTGATTGGGTAGACAGACAGTAATATGATCCCATAGTGTTTTATTTCTTTTATTCTCCTTCCTTTTCCCCTCTCCTCCACCACGCTTTCCACCTTTATTTCTTCACTTCCGCACAGGTGTATGGTTTCTTAAGGACATTCAGCTTTACTTCCTCACTTTATTTCGCTTTAAAAATTCGTTCGTTCTCCCCACCCCTGCCATAGCACAAAGCATTTTCTGTGAGTCTCCCCGTTCACGTGGCAGTGTGCTGCCCAGAAGACCGTGCTCTCAGCTGCAGCCTGGAGGCTTTGCTCAGCACCTGTAAGCGCTGAGGAACCGTTAGGCTAGAGCTGACCAGCCCAGACATCAGGGACGGCCTGTCATTACCGTCTCCCTCCCGTTTCCAGTTTCCCAGAAAGCAGTGAGGGACTGATCTGAACTCTGATTCCTTGTACGAGCACGCCTGAAAGCAGGTGGTGGAGGCTTTTATTTGCTTTTCTGGGTCTTAGGGTTACGTTCAGTGCAAGGTAAAACTGGGAAATGACTTGAGAGTAGGTTGTTTGGGCAGTGGGAATTGATATTTTTTGCATTCATAATTCTCCCAGTCCTCCTTAGTTTGTGGCTGTTTTTTTGTTTTGGTTTGGGTTTTGTTTGTTTTGAGGGGTGACACTTTGCAATGCAGTTTTAGATGTCTGCCCTGCTGCCTAGGTAGAGGGTGGGGATTCTTCTAGACTGTGGACACTTGGTCCATATGTAGAAGTGAGGGATTTAAGGCCATCGGTCAGCAGCTTCTTGCATTGTTTGCTGTTCTCCATTGAAGTCATGATTAACACGTGGGCTTTCGTTCGTTTGGGTCCCCTCAGATACACCTATGAGCGAATTGATGGGCGAGTACGGGGAAACCTGCGCCAGGCAGCCATCGACCGGTTCTGTAAGCCAGACTCAGACCGCTTTGTCTTTCTTCTGTGCACCAGAGCGGGAGGCCTGGGGATCAATCTCACAGCCGCTGATACCTGCATCATATTTGATTCAGACTGGAACCCACAAAATGACTTGCAGGTAACCATTAGGATGATTGCTGTTTGCCTTAGCCACCCGGAACCCAAGAATGTATGGCAGGGCCTGGCTTGGTTATAGAGTATCTGCCATGTTCCATGCTATGGTGTGAGCCAGAGGGCAGGCTTAGGACCTCAGCCTAGGGGAACTGAATGAAAAGTAAATGTCGGCCCTTCCTACTAATCAGAGAATTGTTTTTCCTTTTTACTTTAAGTCAAATGATATTTCATAGTGGTAGCCTCCAAATATAGAATTGAACTATTTCTTTATTATCATCATCAGACATAAAGAACATTATTAAGCTTGACTAATTCTCAGTTCTGGCGTTTTCACTCATCTTGTTTGTTAGCTGGTCATATGACATACTTAGCTTGGGAAATAACCGGGGTGGGACATTTCCACAGTGTGTCAGGGTTCAGGCAGCCTCACCAGCTCATTTGTTCTGCACTTAATGCAAAATGTATAAATGCCCTTTTAAGTGGATTTGCAGGTTGTATTTTCTAGTTTTACCCAAGTTAAGTAATGGTACCTTTAAAAGATGATTTACAAAGATTGAAGTTATTCGAAGATCAAAGTTTATACAGTTAAAAAGTAAGCATAGCCAAGACCGGTTTGGCTCAATGGATAGAGCGTTGGCTTGGGGACTGAAAGGTCCCGGGTTCGATTCTGGTCAAGGGCATGTACCTTGGTTGCGCCTATCCCCAGTAGGGGGTATGCAAGAGGCAGCTGATATTATTAACCATGAATTTATCCTAAGTGTATCTTGATATATTTTCTAATACTCAGAGTGTGAGTGTAGGGTAGGGAGAGTGGTGGGTGACTCACAACCTTTTTCATGACGCAGTGATTAATAAGAGAAGTTGGGAGGATGCTTCTTCACAACACTGAAGAGGTATCCTAGGGGATTCCGCAAGGACAGGAAGGCCAGGAGGGAGAGCCGAGCTGATGCCTTGGGCCTTCTTCCATGGCCACCGCTTCACACAAGCATTCTGCTTTGTCCTTTTCATTCACTGAGTTTCCAGGCAACATTTTATTTGAAGAAAGCTAAATACTAGTTAAATAACCAGTCCTTTAAATAATTAAATTGATGACAATTGGCTAAAACTCAGAGGGAAAAGTCATTGTGAAACTTAATTGTGTGGCACTGTGTTCAGTAAACAAGGACAAATATATGAGTTACAGAGAGCAATACTTATTCCAAAGAGATAAAACAGGATAAGGGGATAAGAATGATGAGGGTTGGATGGCCTGGTTTAGAAAGTGGTCTAGGAAGGCTCCTTTAAGAAGGTGATGTGAGCAGGGACCTCAGTGATGGGGATCTTAAGTTACAAGGTCAGGAGGAAGAATGTTCCAGGCAGAGGAAATAAGAAGTATAACCACGGGGGGTGGGAGTGAACATGGGTGGCACCCTGAAGCAGTGGGCCGGGCACTCACCGTACATTCTCAGTCCCAAATAAAGTGAGTCAGGTTTCCTTTGAGTTCTCTCCTGCCTCTCTTGTCAGTGTCCTCTCTTTTCCACTCCCTGCTCCTTTTTTTTCCTGCTGCCCCAAGCATCCTTTTCTATCTCCCATGCTGTCAACTCCTCTCCTGTTCTCAGCCAGCTCTTGACTGACTTTATTGACACGTTTATTGAGCCCAAACATAGGCCTGCAAAAGGAAGAGCCACTTCCCAGTGCTCCCTGACTCAGGCTGCCAAGAGCCCAGTTCCACTTTTGCATGAGTGGTGACCCTGTGGAGGCAGGCTTTTAGATTGGCAGGAGAAATGTGAAATTGCCGGGCTTGAAATAAAATACTTGTGTGAAAAAACTGGGCTACAGTATTATATCAGCATGCTAGAAGTGGTTGGGTTCCAGTAGCACTGTAGTAATTTGTTTAACCTCTGATTATGCAGTTTTTACATCAAGTAATAAGTAGTATTTTTTAAAGTATTAAAGAAAATCTGCTTTTTAAATGTAATAGAGCTAATGACTTGAAATAGTAGTATAAAGGTCAAGAGAGGATATAGCATTTTGCTTGGTTCTTTGTACCAGTTATTTTATTTTCACCCACGAGGCCCATTGCGTGAATTTGGGCACAGCTGCCGTCCCTCTGTGTGGCCTGCAGAGATTGGGCCAAAACTCACAGTCCAATACCACCTGCAGCTCTTGACTGCTGCTGCTCCCACTCATCCTGGCCCGACTGTGCCTGCCGCTGGCTCACGCCCAATCATTCCCAATAGGGAGAGGTTCGCGTTGCCACAGCAGCGCTCACCAGCCATGAGCCCTGTATCTGGCGCCCTCCCAAAGGGAGTGGCCTGCAGGATTGGGCTGAAACCAGCTCTCCCACATCCCCAAAGGGAGCAGGCCAGGCTGAGGGACCCCCTCTGGTACACGAATAGGCCAGGGAGGGCTTGTGGGAGGGTCCAGGCTGTGTCTGGCCCATCTTGCTCAGTCCCGATCAGCTGCATCCCAGCAGCAAGCTAACCTACCAATCAGAGCATCTGCCCCCTGGTGGTCAGTGCACAACATAGCACCTGGTTGACCAGTCGACTGTCTACCCCCTAGTGGTTAGTGCACATCGTAGCCAGTGGTTGAGCAACCTTAGCATACCATTAGCATATTACACTTTGGTCGTTCAGTTTTCCTGCCATTCAGCCTATTTGCATATTACCCTTTTATTATATAGGATGATTGTAAAGGCATGGTGAAAGGTTTTGCCAAGTCCTGGATGTGAAAGTGACAATAGTAAATTAAAGGCCTGAATTAATTTAAAATCTCACTGCTTGGGCAACTAAGACAGTCCCCCTTCCTTCCCTTTGCAGTTACTGGGATCTGAACATCACTCCTTTTTTTCATAGGCCTTTGTACACCTCAAATATATTAAAAACTAAAGAACTAACCAGGGCCTGTAAATTGTGCGGGAGCACATCAGAGCTCTGTAATTTTTCCTGTGTGGAGGTGGCACCACTGCCCTCACTTGCCTAACTACTCCAAGCTTCTGTATTTGTATCTTTGCTGATGGATCTTATTTGGGCTTCATCTCAGTTGCTGCCCTAGTTCTCTCTCTGCCACGTGTTTGTATATGTGATTTTGGAAAATTAGGAATACCTGATTAACTATTAGATATTTGACTGTAAAATGACGAGTCTCTAAATGTGACAGGACTCCTCTTGTTATCCTTGAGGTAAGTCATCTTGGTAGAGCACATGTTTATTTCCTGGTATCGTATAGTTGCCTGTGGCAGTGGTCTCCCAAACAGGTTTGCTTTTCTCAGTTAATGAGAAGTCCAGAGATATGTAGTCAGGACTACTGGGGTTGCTTCATAGTGTCATCAGAGTCCCAGGTTCCTTCTGTCTTCCTGCTTCTTCATCCTCAGTGAATGTGGTTTGCATCCTCTTGGTTCCCAGATGGATACTTCATGTCCAGGCAGGAAGGTGTGGTGCTTTTTTCAGGAGACCAGAACCTCCCCAGATACCTCTAGTACACTTCTGCTGCATCTCACTGTCCAGACCTGTGTTACCTTGCCATCCCCGGGAGGCTGGAAGTGGTTTCATTTGGACATGTTGCTGCCCTTGGCAAGAATTGGGGTTCTGGTGATGAGGAAGAAAGGAAATGTGGATGCTAAAGAGGTAATTAGCAGTGTCTGCAGTGCTCCTCTTAGTAGATCTTTGCTCAGAACCTTTCTTAAACTTCCACCTGTAATTTACTCTCAACACTAGATGAGCCAGGAACAAGAAAAATCATTGTAAAAGCTATGGCCACATATTGTTGCAGCTTTGTAGATTCCATAAACTGTATTACCTTGATTCCTTTCTTTACCAGAGTTACCCATCAAACCTTTCCCTGCTACTAAAGATTTAACTACCGCTAAAGATACAGAAAGAAGTTATGGCAACTAATTTTAATAGCCGAAGACTAAACAGCTTGGTTGTCCAGTAATAGCAGACTGATTGACTAAGCCATATATAAAAGAATGAGGAGTGTGTCTGCAGACACCTAAATATAGTGTTGGGTGAAAAAAAATAACGTGGAAAAGTAAGCATAGTATGCTAGCATTTATCTAAAAAAGCTGTCTGTTCCTTTCCCTTCCCTGTGGAAAGATTAAAACGAACAAAAACTTTATTTTTATTTTTAAATATTTTTATTGATTTCAGAGAGGAAGGGAGAGGTTGGGGGAGAGAGAAACATGATAATAGGGAATCATTGATCAGCTGCCTCCTGCACACCCCTACTGGGGATTGAGCCCGCTACCTGGACATGTATGTGCCCTTGACTGGAATCAAACCCGGGACACTTCAGTTCGCAGACTGATGCTCTATCCACTGAGCCAAACCAGCTAGGGCAAAAAGCTTTTTTAAATGGTTACCTATCGGGGCAGTAAGGAAATAGGATGGTAGTTACAGGGATAGAAGCTAGTTTTTCCAAATATGCCTTTTTGCATTTAAAAAATACTTTTATTTGTTTTTATTGATTTCAGAGAGAGGAAAGGAGGAGAGAGAGAGAAACATTAGTCAGCTGTCTCCTGCATGCCCCCCAGTGGGGATTGAGCTCATATGCCCTGACTAGGAATCTAACTTTGACCTCCTGGTTCATGGGTTGATGCTTAACCACTGAGCGACACTATCTGGGTGCCTTTTTGCATTTTTGACTTTGGAACCATTCTAAGTATTTTATAGCATTATAAAATAAAATTAATTTTTTAAAATGTACCTTTATTGTTAAAAGTATTACAGCTGTCTCCTTTCTTCTCGCATTGATGCCCTCCACCCCATGGCCGCCCTCTACCCAGGCCTTCACTGCACTGTTGTCTGTGTCCATGAGTTATGTATATATGTATATAATTTCTTTGGTTAATCATTTTCTGCCCTCACTCCCTCTGAGATTCATCAGTCTGTTAAAAAAAACAACAACTTTATTTTGAGATCATTTTAAACTTTAAAAATGTTGCAGAATAAGTGCAGAATTCTAGGACCCTTCACCAAGCTTCCCTTAATGTTAATATTTTATGCTAGAGGCCCGATGTAC